TCCCCGCCGCCGCTCGGCAGCCACATGGCGCGGCCGACCGCACGGCAACACGCGCCCCCAGACCTACTGGCGCAGCGCTTTGCCCCGGCAAGGCACGACCGGCCAACGCCGCGAGACCCCGGCGCCGCACCGGGTCGGCCAGCAGCACCGCCGAGGGTCCCAAAAATGACAGCACGAACACCTCAACCAGCGCGCGCTGTTGTGTGCGTCGCAAACGGAGCTTCCACCTCACTGCTGGCGGGTCGTTGCGCCGCCATCCCCCCCGTGGAAGTCCCTCCTCCCCACTTCACCGCCGGCGGAGGAGGCGGCACTGAATTGGACGGCTCCGTCTCGGGCCCTTCCGAGCGCGCGACCGGATGCCCGCCGCCCCGAGAGAGGGCGCCCAAAGGCCCGGCGCCGCGTTGGGTCGCGCGCGGCACGCAGCGGCGTGTGTCGTGCAAAAATCTTTTCATCGGTGCCGGGCCTTTGGGCGCCTGCGGCCCCTCACCGTGCGACGGGGGGCTCGGGCCCCACGCGGAGTGCCCGCCGACGCCCCCACCTCGCGCCCCGCCCGCGCAAGGCAGCAAAACGTGGCAAGCGCGCGAAGGCGGCTCATCTCAGCGGCTGTGGGCCTGCGGCCGCGCTCATGCTCCTCGCCGGCACCCCCGCTCCCCGGCCAAAGGCCGCTGCGGAAAAAGAACGGCGGGTGTGTTGCCCGGGCGCGGCCTCCTTCCTTCCGCCTGCAGAGTAAAAGAAAAACAACAGAAGCTCACAGCCCGGCCCCGCGTGCACCCCACGCCACCCGCGCACGAGCAGCTTCACCCACCACCCACGCACCCGTCACGGAAGTGCGTTAACAAGACGTCCACCGATCGCCGGACTCGCTGGGCCACGCAAACCGGCAGTGTCTGGGGCACTGCCGCCGCCGGACTCCCCCGCGTGAAGACTAGCGGGGGGCAGGGGAGGGGCGTGACAGAAAACAGAAAAAAACTGCACTCGCTGCCGACCAACGCGGGATCTCTGGAAACAAAACCCCGTCAAACAAGAAAAAAAAGCGGGACATCCCTACAAAAAAAAGATCATCTTTTACTTTTAGCCCACCCCCATCGCGCGACGGGTTACTTCTACAAGTTCCTACAAAAATAAATTCATCCTCCGCTGGGACGCCTGCGCCGCACAAAGTTAACGTGGGTGCAGACCCGCTGCGCACAGCCAGCGTAAAGGACAAGGGGGCGGGCGGGGCCCAGGGCACCGCCAAAAGCGTGCGAGCCAACGGGCGGCCCGCCTTGCCGTTTCCACCGCACGCCGTTTGAGACGTGAACGAAAACACACACACACAGACAGAAATTGAATAAAACAAAAAAAACACCGTAATTTTAAAAAATAAAGAAATCCACGTAATTCTCCGTTTTCGTTTTTTCTACAAATTCCAGAAGGGGCGTGTATAACCGCAACTCACCGGTTTCCAAATGCGGTTCAGAATAAAAATAAAATAAAGAGGGGAAGAGACAACATACCCCAACGCTTTTCTATATTATTTTCTTTTTGCTCGCGTCCAACGAATGCCACACACAAGGCGCGCTTTTCCTTCTCGCCTTGCACGGCGCCGCAGATCTGGAGACGCGTATGCCAATCGCCCGCTGCTAGGAAGCCAGCGGTGGGGGTATCTTGCAGTAAAACAACCTTAAATACTGCGGACGCCTGCTCCGTGGCGAGCGGAGCCGAATTATTGCCCTGCTGCGCGGTGCTTGCACCCGGTCGCTGCGGCTGCTGCTCAAAGCGGCATTACCGCCGCCGCCGCCGTGACCGTGGCGAGGACAAGCAGACTGGAGAGAACAGCAGCACTGCCACCGTGGCCGTCTTTTTTGCCGTCCTTGTCGTCTTTTTTGCCGTCTTTGTCCTTTTTGACGTCCTTGTCTTTTTTGCCGTCCTTGTCCTCTTTTTTGCTGTCATTGTCCTCTTTTTTGACGTCCTTGTCTTTTTTGCTGTCCTTGTCGTCTTTTTTGCCGTCTTTGTCTTTCTTGCCGGCCGCGTCGTCTTTTTTGCCGTCCTTGTCGTCCTTTTTGCCGGCCGTGTCCTCTTTTTGCTGTCCGTGTCGGCTTTTTGACGTCCTTGTCTGC